TTGTTACAGCATCCTTAACTGGGTTTTAGAAGACAGCAAGAACGGAACAATGTTTTTACAATAGCAGAGCTTAGGAGGTGGTGCTGTGCAGGTTATCTGCACATCCGCAAAATGTGACATTATTGGCTGGTTGTTAAGCTTCACTTCCTTTGATGACAAACAATAATCATACCATGAAAGCTCTCAGATGCAGTTAGGAAGCTTACGAGTCCCTCTCAAACACGATAAAATATTATAATGAATGCTCAGAGAAAATATGAGAATTAAGGTAAAAGGAAGCTGACTGCATTAAAGCACACAGTCACAGAACACCCCGCACAAACTGAATGACAACTAGGCCTGATCTGCAATCATGCTTAAATTCCCAGCTTGTGAGCTACTCTGGAAGCTCGTATTTCATTCCTCCCCAAGGTGAAGCAGTGGTTGTCACCTCATCATTTTACCTTTCTAAGAAGAGTAAAATCCTGATCAATTGCTTGTTTTTTAATCTTCCTTGCAAGAATGCAAGGCTGGTTATGCATCAAAGCCAGCTCTTCCCTAAATGGAGAACACTTAATGATGCAAACCATACAGCTCCAGCCTCGCTGATTTCCCTACATTGAAAATACCAAACGTTCCTGAATCCAGGCAACTGGAAAAGGAGTGATTGTTCACCATGTTGCCTTTTGTTTTTAACATTAAGGAAGAGGAACAATGTCCTCATAAAATAGCTTTTTTCAAACTGTTCCTTCCAACTGGATTGGACTCCTAAATATTCACTACAGGTAGTCTTCAACTTTCAACCCTAATGGAGCCTGGAATTATGATTATAATTTGTGCTGGATTTTCAAGCAGGTCATTATCACTGACCAGATTTTATGACTTTTTTTATAGCAGTCAAGTGAATTTGCAATAGGCATTTTTTTTTGCTATAAACAAGTAAATGCCAGTTTGCACCAAAAAAGTAAATAAATCATGATCATGTGACTGGGGGACATTGCAAACAGCTGTAAATGCAGGCAATTGCCAAATGTCCAAAATGTAGTCAAATGACCACAGGAGGGCCCAGCCATCATAACTTTGAATTGGGAATGGGACAACTTGCCACAGCCAAGTCACCATGGCCGTTGTAGCCAACTCACTGCAGGACAATTCGCCACGGTCAAAATAGCAAATTATCCTGTGTCGAGACAGCCATGGTGAGTTGTCCTGCAGCAAGCTGGCTATGGCAAGTTGGCTGTGGCGAGTTAGCTGTGGTGAAGGGTCATAAAACCCTTTGAATCTGGGGCATATGTACCTTTCTTTGGGGTCCCTCATAACTTCAAACAGTTCCTAAGCAACCGTAAATTGAGGACTATCTAAAGTCTAGAATTATATTGTAGCCCAACAGATCTGGAAAACAATTCATTGGAGAATATTATTTAGACTCTTCTGCCGGATTTCTGTGACCGGGGCAAGTTCGTTAGCACATAGGCAGGATCTGGATAGCTTCTCACAACTGACAGAAGTCTCCAAGGATCACTTGTGATGTTTCCGAGAGAGCCTTCACGGTCTCTTCTCTAGGAAGTCTCGCTAGAGGTCAAATGGGTGGATTTGGCTTTCTCCCTTCCAAGTAAGGGAGAAGTCTGTGCTTTGAAGAAAACCACAGGCCGGGTTTGGAATAAAAACTGAATGATGAGAAAGGGCAAAGTCCCAAATTTCGGCTTCTACAAGCCTTTGGGGGAGTCTCTTGTCCTCCTGGAGACCCGACACTGCAGGTCCTCGAGAAAAAGGTAGCTGTACATCTGCAAAGGAGAACACAGATGCAGTCAAGCAGCGACTTCCTAACCAAGGACTTATTCAAGCGAGGCTTCTCACTCCGTCAAGCAAAGGGCGCGCAAGATGCCTCCCCACGGCCCGGGTCAGCGAGGGCAGCAAATTGAACTTCGAAGGCTCCGCGGTGGAACGGAAAACGAGGCGGGAGGCCCTTTTGGTTCTCCTCCGCCTCCCCCTCCTCTTTCTCCTTTTTTTTTTTCCCGCCTCGCTCCTTGTTTATTTTGCTTTCCCTCTTTCTGAATGAATCTTTCCCTCCCCGCCATTTCCCTTCCTTTCCGCCCCCTGATCAGGCCCCGCTGCCGCCTCCTTGAAACTCCGCGGCGTGCCAGTGGGAGGCCAGCGTGGGGATGAGGAGCCGGGAGGGGCAGGGAAGGCGGGGGAGTGGCGGGGGGGGGGGCAGAGAGCGCTTTCCTGCACATCACATGATTGCCCAGCTTATATAAATCACAGCTTGTTTTTCTCAGTTTGCCGGAGATTTAAAGGCACAGAGTTCCCTTCCAAAGCAAAAAGTGGGGGAGGGAGAAGAAAGAAAGAGAGAGAGAGAGAGAGAGAGAGGAGGAGAGAGATGCATGCATGCTTCTTGATTTTTTGTTTTATTCTGTAAGTGCCAGTCTTTTAAAGAAATAAAAAAGATGGATAGCTATATCTGCAACATTTACATTTGATTGTCTTTTCCTTGTTGACACTCTAGAAAGAGTGCAGAGAAGAGCAACCAAGAGGATTAGAGGACTGGAGGCTAAAAACATACTAGTCTAAAGCATGGCTAGTCTAGTGAAGAGAAGGACCAGGGGAGACATGATAAGCGGTCTTCCAATATTTGAGGGGCTGCCACAGAGAGGAAGGGGTCAAGCTATTTTCTAAAGTGCCTGTAAGCCAGACAAGGAATGATGGATGGAAACTGAACAAGGAAGAGATTTAACCTGGAAATAAGGAGAAATGTTCTGACAGTGAGAACAATCAACCAATGGAACAGCTTGCCCTCGGAAGTTGTGGGAGCTTCATCACTGGAGGCTTTCAAGAAGAGACTGGACTGCCATCTGTCAGAAATGGGGTAGGTAGGGTCTCCTGCTTGGGCAGGGGGGTTGGACTAGAATCAGGGGTGTCAAACTCGCATCATCACATTGTCGTCACGTCACATAGCGTGACTTTGCCCCCCTTCGCTAAACGTGGGCATGGCCAGTGCGTTATGCATCTGGCCCACAGGCCACAAGTTTGACACCTCTGGACTAGATGACCCTTCCAACTCTGTTATTCTATCATTCTGTTATTCCTTCTGTAATTCGTGAGATGAATTGGTGCCACAGGTGCCACAGCCTAATGGAGGCACGTTACCAGCCCTCTTGAGAAAATGAGCAGGGTTGCCTCACACAAATTGCTGGCATCCCAGAAGGTGAATTCATAATCACTCCCCACCGTCTCGACTAACCTCAATCTTTTGGGGCAAGAAGCTGAGGAACCCCCTTCCAAGCAAAGCACAGGAATGCAGCCAGTCCCCAAATTTATTTCTCAAGAATGGCCCAAAGGCCGCTGATCGATTCTTGGATGAAACTCTTGGAAATTCAGATCATGTGCTGTAGCGGGTCAAAAAAAATCATGATGACGGTTGTGATTACATGATGCAATACAATTCAATAAAAATTGGGCAGAGCTGCAGGGAGGAAGTCATGCTCCATCCTGATCCTCCTCTACTGCTGCCCTGTAGGATGGTATCATCCAGTTTTATTTGTTTATAAATGAAAGTTCCCATATACAAAGCAATGTATGAATATCTAACATAAAAACAACTCATACAATAAAACATTATTAAATCCATCTCTCGAGGCAGAGTAAAATCACTCGCCCCCCATACACAATACACAATATTGCCCACTCACTATTAAACATCAAAAGCCTATCATAAAATTGTTATTACAGTCTAGTGAAGTATCAGATGTGTCAAAGGTGTCAGCGCACCTTTTCCAAGGTGTTGGGGCTATGACATCTGAAGAACACGAAATAGGGTGCAAACCCTAAAAGGGGGATTCACTGGATATGTTAGCAACCACAGACCTCTCTCTAGTGGTCTGGAGTCTCAGTTACTCTGATGCAAATTTAGCTACTGCACCACACATGGCAAATGACATATATAGATGTTACAATTACATGTTTATTTTATTTTGCCTTCAATCTAGTGCTGATTCCAAGTGACTGCTTGGACAAATTCCTGCAGGTTTCTTGATATGGTGTTTTTTTTTAAAGTGGTTTTCCCTTGCTTGCTTCCTAGAACAGAGTGACTGGCCCAAGGTCATCCAGTTGGCTTTGTGCCTAAAGTGGGACTAGAATTCACTGTCTCCTGGTTTCTGTCCTGGTGCTTTAACCTTCAGATTGGCTACACTAAAATATGATGCAACAATGAACAAAATTTGCTGCCCTTTATGAAATAGGAACTGTATAGAAATTTGGACGGTCTCGGTTCGCATATTGGATTAAATTAGGATTTGCTTAAGGTTGTTTTACTGAATATATCAACTCAACATCAAAAACATCAAATGATGGCCTGGAATGGATGTGGACCTAACCAGCATGCCTCATTGCTACGAAGGAACATTACTGTGGTCCTTGCATTATGACCACAATTGAGCCCAAAATTTATGTTGTTCTCAATGAATTTTTCTTGCCACAGTTGTTAAGTGAATCATTGCATTTGTTAAGTTAGTAACCTGGTTGTTAAATGAATCTGGCTTCCCCATAGACTTTGCTTGTCAGATGATCGTAGAACAGGATCATAGGACCTCAGGACATTAAACAGTCATAAATATGAACTACTTGCCAAGCATATGAATTTTGATCATGTAACCATGGGGATGCTGCAATGGTCGCACGTGTGAAAAATGGCCATAAGTCTCTTTTTTCAGTGCCATTGTAACTTCAAACGGTCACTAAATGATCTGTTGTAAATCGAAGGCTACTTGTATATACCTGGCAAATACTGTCCTATTCTTCAGCAATTTTCAGACATTGCAGTAAGTTAGGGTCATTTAATCATCATGTATGACAGTGTTCGTTCAACATGCCAAATCACAAACAAGCCGATCTCAGCTTTGGGAATCTAATCATCAATGTGAAATGCAAAAAGTTTCCTGCAGCAATACAGAGGAAATTACTTGCTTTCTTTCATTTCTGTTGATTTCTTTAGAGGTTTGTTTTTCAGAGGGTTTTTTTCTCCCCTTTTTCTTGTTTTCATCAATCAGACAAAGACCACACTACTCTCCTGATGCAACTCCAAGTTTCCTTTTACTTTGGAATATTCCTTTCTCTCCTTTCATTTCTATTTCCATCTCCAAACCACCATTGGCATTTATTATTTTTGGGAAAGTTTTATGTCCTGAGAATCTTTAAAAAATCATCATCACTGAAGCTTGTTGGGTTTTACTGGCCATCATTCCTTGAGCAGCAGCTTGAGATGTACAGTACTAGTTAGCAGATATCACAGTATGTGCTGCAAATTTTGCTGAAGTTATGGTTTAGACTACAGCATTTGAAGGACTAGATCATCAGTTCTGCACGATAAAAGCTGTAAAATTATTTTTGAAGAATGTAATAGAAACTTATGCATATATATTGATTTGTTTTGTACCTTTGATATCATCAGATGACTAAATCAATAACTTTTCTAGTCTATTCTTCTAAAACATTTTTTTTTCCAATTCTCTTCAGAAACACAGAGAACAGGGAACAAAATGAACCAATCAGAGCATCTTTTCTAGCTGAACAATAGGAGACAGTAAAAATGCTGGAAGCTAGTGCAGGTCCCGGATCAACAGAAATCTTGTTACACCCTCTCCCGTCACTTACAACATACACTAAAAGAAATAAATGAATAAATTGCTAGCTTCCTCTGCCACTGCATGTTTCCAGAATATGTTGTATATATTGTCTGGCCGTATGAAGAAAGGCAACCCACAAACATTGAGCCGCATAATACAGGGGTTACTCCAGGAGTGACTGGAGGAAGGGTAAAATATGACTGTCCTAGCCCTGTCTCATTTTTTTACATATCTCACACTGATTCAACAGTGGCAGGCCTATATCAGGATATCTTTGAAGCCTCCAATTCAGCATTCCTCTGTTGCATTTAAAAGGCTATGCTGTGCTAATAAAATGGTAGAATTCTGGGAATTTTGCATCCAGAGATTCATCCCGTTGCTGATTGTGCTGATTGCACAATAGCACAGGTGGCTGGAGGGCAGGATGGAGGGAGACACACAATATTCCAAAGAATAGGACTATGCAGTATTTCTGTTTCCAAAGGGAAATGTGATTGTCATACTTGTTGGAATCTTCTTAAATCCAGTGGGATTTTCCTTGAGTTTGCATGCAGGGACAAGCAGGAAAGTCGCTCTATGCTCCGAGTCACTTTTTCAGTTTGGAGTTCAAGTTGCTGCACTGCTCCAAAATAGCACCTACAAAGCAAACAACATTATGAACAAGAAGCTGAAGGCTGTGAGCTAAGAGAACAAATTTGCCTCCATCTCACCCCATACGGAAGAAAAACAGAGTTGCTTGCAGTTGTGTACACACACACACACACACACACACACACACACTGTCCATAAGGCAGCATTCAGCAAGCTATTCCCTGCTGCAATAATTTTTAAAAGGAGAACTGTTATCAGTTTAACCCAGCAAAAGTACTGGGATAAATTTGATGAATGTTGTGGGGTAGAGGTTTTTTTTGTTTTTTGTTTTGCCTTTTTCGTTGGTGGAGAACAGGCCAATTGCAAAGTCCCAGGCTATTGCTCAGGAGTTGGGTATTTTGAATGACTGTGTCCAGAATAGAGAGTGGGGAGAGAGTATCTGTTTTAAAATGGCATCAGCAAGGTAGGGTGCATTTATCTGATGGTATACGAACACTGAAAGATTAGCAAAACTCAGGAGGAGGACGAAGGAGGTGTGGCAAAGAACAGATACAGCAAAATCTTGACTTTTTCCTGTCTTCTGGGTTAGGTTTAGGATATGAGGCATCTAGTGATGGTTTGGATTTTTGCACCCAAGATTTAATAGAGCAAGGGTCCCCAGCCTCCGGGAGGCCATGGAGCAGTATCCGTGATCTAACTTCTGGACCAACCAGTACAAGTCCGGGGCCTGTTAAGAACCGGGCTGCACAAGCAGTAGGCAAGGGAGCAAAGCTTCATCTCCACATGTGCAGGATCTACATTTGTGTGCAGAACCATACCCACCGCACACACACACACACACACACACACACACACACACACACACACAAACATGGTTCGTGGAAGACAATATCTCTTCCAAAACCAGACCCCGGTGCCAGAAAGATTGGGCACCACTGTAGTAGAACAGTGTTTTTCAATCTTGGCAACTTTAAAATGTGTGGACTTCAACTCCCAGAGTTCTCTATTCAGTATGATGACTGGGGAATTCTAGGAGTTGAAGTCCACACATTTTAACATTGCCAAGTTTGAAAAACACTGCAGCAAACCAAATGAAAAAGAAATCTGAACAATTCACGCAAAGAGAGATGTATAATGCAACTGACACTCTGTTCCGTTTTAAGAACCTGTGAACAAAATGGTGCATCTGCTGAAGGCCAAGAACATGGCAAAGGCAATCTGGACAAGCAGATTGCTTACAAGTTCTACAGAGTTTCATTGCTGCAAGTGGAAATACCACTTTTCCCCCCATTGCTGTTTCTTAGAGAAAACTACTGATGATTGGGCATCTGGGAACCAGCCATTTAGGTTTTCTATGCAGCACTAGAGCCACCAGATCTGAGTTGTTAAAAAACAAGAGAATCACAAGATGGCTACAAACATTTTTCGCATAAGTTTTGTTTCCATGTAATGGCCACCAGATTTTTACAGCCCAGATCGGATCACCCTATATATGTACCTTTAGCAGTTGACCACCTATTTTTCCAATCGCTTTCAAAATTTATACTGCCACAGGGATTATTTTTATGCCAAACTGGCTGCCTTTTATTTTGTGGGGGTTTTTCCCAAAGCTCTCCTGGCAGAATTTGCGTTTGTTTCCCATAAAGGTGAAAAATTGCCATGATTGCTATCTTATCATCTTAATTTTCTAGCAGAGGGATGGAAAAACAAGGTTATAGGCACGTGAATAAGGCAAGTTCATAAATTTACAGCTGGGCTGCAAAAATCCAGATGACCACTCCATTTGCAGCCCAAATCAAACACAGACAGTCCTCGATTTACAACCATTCATTTAGTGCTTGTTTGAACTTACAACAACACTGAAAAAAAGTGACTTATTTTGTCCATTTTTCATACCTATGACCGTTGTGGCATCCCCATGGTCACGAGATCAAAATTCAGATGCTTGGCAACTGGCCTGTATTTTTTATCTGTTGCAGGGGTCTGCAACCTTAAACACTCAAAGAGCCATTTGGACCCGTTTCTCACAGAAAAGAAAACACCGGGAGCCAATAATTTAACAACTGGTGTGACTGGGTGGGCGTAGCCAACTCGACGTCACTCACTCCCAGCCACTCACCTCCTGCTCTGGAATATGGAGCCAGTCTCCACCCCCTGCCATCACCCTTACCTTCTCAGGCCAGGTGAGGAGTGACAGGGAAGGGAGGGGCCAGCCAGTGGTGGGATCAGCTGACAGGGAGCCACAGCAGAGGGCTGAAAGAGTTGCATGTGGTTCCAGAGCCACAGGTTGCACACCCCTGATCTATTGCTACTGTGTCAAGAAAGGTTGCAAAGCAGGGCAAAACTCGCTTAATAACCAACCTGAAAGCCAATTAGGTATAGTAGTTAAAGCATCAGGCTAGCAACCAGGAGTTCTAGTTCCAGCTTAGGCACAAAGTTAGTTGAGTAACCTAAAGCAGAATTCCCCAACATTTTCATTTGCAGACCAGTGTGTGTGTGTGTGTGTGTGTGTGTCAGTGGTGGGATTCAAATAGTTTTACCACTGGTTCAGTGGGCGAGGCTTGGTGGGCGCGCTTTGCATGCATGCACACACTTTGTGTACGCGCACCAAACGAGGTGAGTTCTAACTCACCTCCTGCAAGCCTGGACGATCCCAGTCGCTTCAGCAGCTGCTGCGCGGGGCACTCTTCCGTGCCGTGCAAAGCAGCTGCGCTTCAAATTCAGGGGATAAAAGTGAGTATGGGAGCCTGGGCAGGTGGGCCCAAAAGCAGAGTGACGGTTCGGTCTCCACTGCTCATTGCTGCTACTGGCTTGGCAGAACTGGGCCAAACTGATAGAATACCACCACTGGTGTGTGTGTGTGTGAGGGGATGGTTCCACTCGCCTGTCACCACTGCGGCCCAGTTCTGAAAGGGTCAAGGCCCAATAGCGGGCTGTGGCCCAGGGATTGTGGACCCCTGACCTAAAGAGACCCTCTCTCAGCCCTAGCAGTGAGGCAATAGCAAATCACTCCTGGGGGAAAAAAAAACCACAAGAAAACTGCAGGGGCTTTATCCAGACAGTCTCTGGGAATCAGACATGATTGAACAGAAAACGAAAAATACCAACCTATTTTCAGACAAGACCTAGCTTGTAAAAGTAACATTAAACTTCCATGACAAATGTATATTTTTACACTGCAATACAAGTGATGCCTCTTTTATTATGGCACACATAAGTATACAAGGGGTGGAGCTTGAGCTGTCACTGAATGAGGCCTACTTCAACTTTTGGCTGAAATTTCACTTGTTTACGGCAGGATATACACTTTGGAAGGAAGGGATTTTCTTTCAACCCCTGCCCCAGATACATGCTCCTTGCCTTTGGCCAATTTTAGAAACTGGATTTAAAAAAGTTATCCGGTAAAATTGGGATTTTTAATGACTGTGTTAAAATGTTATATTGTTGATTTCTTCTAATGTACGATTTACTTCGCAATTAAATAACCCTGGCCTATGGGGATGCTGGTTTCCATTCTATGTATGCAGTCCTTTTTTATGTTTTCCTTGGAAGAAATGATCCAAAGAATGTAGCTCTGGCCACAGAAAAAGGACATCTATTTGCTTAATTATGTAACCTTCACTAAGCACACTATGCGCCCAACAGGTATTTGATTGTAGGCTTGATCGACGAAAAAAATAACACCGAGATGCCAAGAATAGATTGAAATTCTTTCCCTGTAGCTGAGCCCCTTTCACGAGGAAGCAAAGCTTGGCAAGAGCCACCTCAGGCCTCTTTGCACAATTAGGACCACAGAAAGTCGGGGTAATACTTAAAATGTGTGACCCAGCTCCTGCCAAAAACAGGTCCAACCAGCAAAACAAATCCAGATTGACAAGAGACACTAGACTAGAGCAAAATAGGAAGTTTGATTCAGAATCTGCCGGGCCTGAAGCTCACTTATGAGCGGGAACCATACGAAAGTGGTCAAACAGGTATCAAAGGAACGAAGCAGGTGGGTGAGAACCTAGGATCTGAGGAACAAAAATTAGGATGCAAAGAATAAGCTGTCAAAAGTAAAATTTGCCACATATTACTTTTCTTTCCTATCACAATCCCTTTGGTCGCTCCCATCTATTCTCTGCCTCCCAAGCCCCAGCTGATTGGCTGGATCTTCTTTTGTTGCCCTGCACAGGAGAACGGAGCTGGAAAGCAGGTTAGTGGGGTGGGGAGGGAATGGGGATTTTGCAGTAATCTTCCCCTGCCACACCCACCAAGCCACACCACGTCCACCAAGCTACGCCCACAGAACTGGTAGTAAAAAAATTTGAATCCCACCACTGATTCACACACACACACATATAACACACACATGTATTTATGTGACTTGCTTACATTTCTTATCACATCTCACAGACAAACATACTCACGTTTGCATTTAAAACACATCAGTGAAGATCCCTGATGAGAAATGCATCCATTAATGTACATGTATACATTGTTTGTGTGTGCGCGCGTACCATCTAGGTTTCCCCTTTATCAAAAGGCAAGTTATGCCTGTAACAAACAAGCCTGTGCTATCTTCATCCCTTGGCATTTTTTTCTTCATCCTTTCCCCCAGCTTTTTAAAGTAAGTTTTTAAGGCTAGGGAAGGTGACCTCAGGATTTTACAGTAATTTTAATACTATTATTATTCTGTAAGTGTTCCCTCCCCCCAATCATTTTTATACTCCACTTTTACTCTAACCACGCTATGTTTTTCTCCCCTAATAAAGTAGCAGAGTGGTATGTAATTAAATATGACAGCAAGGTTTACCATCCTTTCTCAACCCTTCCCAGCTCCATTTAAATCTGCTTTGATTTTTATTAAAAAGAAACAATAGGCTTGTCAGTGAATTGTGAACAGTTGGAGAGCAATGTAATTTAAGAAGCGTTGCCTTCATCTCTTACCGCGTGACATCTCCTTTCTTCTCAACCTCTGTCTCCTGCCTGTGTAGATGCTGCCAACTGTAGCAAATTACCAGTGTAAGCCCATAAATGTCTATTCAGTTCACTAAACTCTCTGGGACTTGCTCCCATGTAATGTATTGCAAATGAACATTGTTTAAACAGAAGCAGAAAGCAGAAAGGGGCTGGATCATCAATTGGAACCTTTCTCCTCGGTTGCAGAATTCTTCAGCATCAGTTTGGATTCAAGTAATTGCCTGCCATGAAATTCCCCAGTTCTCAAGTGAGGTTGCACACTCCATTTTCCTTCTTGTCCATTTTGAAGTAATGTATGAGAAAAGGAAGAGTTAAACAGAAGCATGCTGCTGCAACTGGCTACTCTAAATAAGAGTATATAGAAATACATGAAGCCAAAGTGCATCCCATAAGAACAAATTGTTAAGCCAAGGTCTCTTTCATACTGCAGCTTAAAACTTCTTCATTCTTAAACTGTTTGGAAGTGAAACCTGGTTACACATTCCCTTTTTGGATTTCACCTGCTTCCTCCTCTTTGACCCCAGTGATGACTTTGTGATCTGTTCAGGTACTTAGTACAACCTCTGATTGGTGGATCCCCTATAACAGGGTGTCAAACTCAATTTCATCAGGGTTGTGTTTGACCTTGGGGGGCCAGGGTGGGCATGGCCAGCTTGACATCACTTGTGTTTGGGGTTACCTGTGGCGGGCCGAGCGCTCTGCCAGTGAAAATAGGCTCCCGAGCTCTGTTTTTGGCTGCTGCAACCCTCTGTCAGTGAAAATGGAGCTCAAGAGGGCAGCCCGCAGCCCTCCCGAACTCCGTTTTCACTTGCAGAGGCACTGCAGCCTGGTCCTTTGCTGTTTCCAAGGCAGCCCTGCAGGCCAGATGTAAGCACCCTGTGGGCTGGATCCGGCCCCCGGGCCTTGAGTTTGACACCCCTGCCCTAAAACAATAACAGAGTTGGAAGGGACCTTAGAGGTCTTCTAGTCCAACTCCCTGCTCAGGCAGGAAACCCTATATACCATTTCAGACAAATGGTTGTCCAATTTCTTCTTGAAAAATTCCAGTGTTGGAACATTTACAACTTCTGGAGGCAAGTTGTTCCACTGATTAATTGTTCTGTCAGGAAATTTCTCCTTAGTTCTGGAAATTTCTGCTTAGTTCTCTTAGTCCCTATTCCACTGACCCCTACTCCACTGAAAGACCTTTTATATAAGTCTCCTTTTATTTGTACCTACTGCATACTTGACACTTCTCATTCATTAGTGCAGTGGTTTTCCACCTCTATTTACTGGCAGTGGCAGCGGCAGAGGCAGCAGCGGCAGGACAGGAGGGGATGCACACCCACACGCCACTTGTGCAAATGAAGCTTTGGGAGATCACCCACCACTTGTGCACCCTGGTTCCCAGCAGGCCGTGGACTGATACTGGTCCACTAACCAGGGATTGGGGCAGTGGTGGGATTCAAATTTTTTTACTACCGGTTCTGTGGGCGTGGCTTGGGTGGGCGCGGCAGCGGAAGGATACTGACAAATCTCCAGTCAGAGGTGGCATTTGCCGGTTCTCCAAACTACTCAAAATTTCCACTACCGGTTCTCCAGAACTGGTCAGAACCTGCTGAATACCACCTCTGGATTGGGGACGCTTGCATTAGTGGATAGGTCTGAAAGAAACAGAAAGAGAAAACATTGCCAAAGCACCATCCTACTTGTCAATTGCACTGTGTAAACAAGGCCCAAACAGTTCCATATTCATGTGAGAAAAAGAAAAAAATACTACCACTCTCCTCCTTTCCATGACTCTCGTGGTAAGCTAGTCCTTACAATAAGAAGAAAAAACAAAGGAAGAAAAGGTCCAACATTTTATAGATGCATCAATCAGTAAGTTGGGATGCAGGGGCAGGGGGAGAGAGAGGTTCATTTTGAAATTGGCCAGGCAACCCAGAATAAAATGGCTGAGGAAGACAGCAACCAAGCAACCGGTGACTGAAAGGGAGGCTCATTTCTGCCACAGCACAAAGTAGCCAATTGGAGGGAAGGAATTTGCCTACAACAAAATGAAGTGCAGCAGGCAAACAGTGGTGATTATAGTTTCCAAGCTGGCACAAGTTTAAAAATGCTGCGTTTAAGACATAGCAGGAAAAGTGAATAAAAACCGCCTTCCTGATGGGCTGGGGATATCAATGTATTTTCCCTCTCTTAAAAAATGATTAGTGTTCTGTACTTGTGCTGGCCATTCAGATCAACCCCAGGAAGAATATCATTTCATTTGCATCAATGTATAAAGAATATAGTTTATTGTATATATTGTTCTCATATGTTTTATCTGCAAACCTGCAGAGGAGAACAGGCTGATAACTCCCTTTGTCCTTTAATGCAAATGCAGAACATACAATTACGAGATGCCTTATCGTACCAAACAATCAGGTATCCAATTCTACAGCTTGATTGTATTGGCTACGTTCATTTGCCTATGGGTCAATAAACCATGGATTACTCACACGTAATTTTCTTGCTCCACAGACAGTACTTAGGTAATTGTGGTTTAACACTGTTATGAACCCAGCCGTAGGGAAAGCGAAGGCTACCATATTTGGGCTGCAACAGTCTGAAAAAAACATTAGCAAAAAGAAAAAGAAAAAAAAAGGTTTTCTGTATCTCTTTGCTACCATCTAGAGGGCATCTGGATATATGCACACCATATATAATAGCCATAGCTGAATCAGCCAATTTTTAAGCTAATACATGTACTAAATAAAGAAGGAACAAAACCTTTGAACTAGTTGCTTAGAAAAATAAAGTTACATACAACTATTAGGAATTTGCAGAGAATATTTTAACAACTCGTTTTAGGTGGGTACACAGAGTGCAACTTTTAGGCTGTGTTCACCTGACATAAACTATTCACCGTTTTTGCCTAGAACAGCAGAGAGAGAGAGGAAATTCAAATTACTCCATTAATAACTTCAGGGGTCTGATTCTGTGACCCTTAGGTGACTCTTTCAGGAATTCCTGAGGATAAGATTGGGTCACAAGGAAGTCAGACTGAGATGTGGCACCATGTAGATTATGGTCTGTTTATGTCTGGGAATGCCCTTTGTTCAGAACCATGGTCTAGTAAGGAAAAGGCAGGCAGAATTTCTCAAGTCATATTTTAAGCCTTTTGAATTCTTTGGAAAGGAAATTTTATAAACAGAAGTGCAGCTTCCTGAACTCCACGCCTGCCATCAACTAAGATAACTGGAGGAGGTTCCAGAGGAGAGAGCTTTTCGTCTGTGACACCAAACGTCAAAACCCTGGTTCTGTGGGCTGGCCTGGAGCCCAGATAAGAGCATGCTGTGTTGAGGGTGGCTAATGAGGGTAGAGAGATGATTCACCACCAGCATGTCACCTGTCCTGTTGGTTTTTAGTTTCCTATATAATCCTCGTACATTTAATACATTTGCATTATCTTTTTTGTCTTTTGATCATACTGTAAGCAGCACAAGTTGCTGTAACAGTGAGATGGTCATCATATAAATTCAATAAATCAAACAAAAACAAATGTCTCATATTTTTTTCACCACAGCAAATATTCACAGATTTTCCATCTTTCTTTCTTTCTTTCTTTCTTTCTTTCTTTCTTTCTT